GGAATGCCTTGTTAATTTCCACCACTCTTTCTCCCCAGTGGTACTTAAGAAGTATCAGCCTCCGTAGTGCATCAGGCCAAAGCAGAACCTCTGTGTTAGTGCATGTTCCACTTAAGATTTATATGGTGTACAGAAGGCTACCTGCAGTTTCAGAGCTGGAGCTAGGAGCTGAGGAGTGTTTGCATATGATTATAGGATGACTGGAATTTGCTTAATCACATTTATGATGTTTACAATGACATATTTAAAGCACATTGTAAAAAAAATACACGTTTCCTATAGTATGAACATGAGACAAATGAGACTATTAGTGTCCCTAACTTGTACCTAAGAGAACTGATGGTAAATAACAGATAAGAAATTATGTTTAATTATGCATTAGAAAGTCTTTGAAGGGGTCAAAAAACAAAGAGTAGGAATCAGTACAGTACCATATATCCAAAAGGAAGCTATTCCAGGGGTTCCTTCTGAATCTTTACTAGGACTGGTGTTATGTTACAGCAATATTAGAGAAACAACTGAACAAGGTGGCAACATTTACAATGATACACTATATATTTAGATAAGTCAGGATCAGAGAGCTGAGAGACACACAGGGCCCCTGCTACACCAGGCTACCAGGAATCAAAATGATTAATTAAATTTGATATGGACAGAAGAGCAAGAATAGTTTTTTGGGGAATGCAGAAGATCAGGCTACAGTCCTCGGATCTGCCAAGATCCTTCCTTGGTCTTTGCCAAATTGCTTCCGGTCTCTGCACCTTAATCTCGATCAGTGTAATATGGACAATAATCCTTCCTCCCCCCACTCGTTGTCTGTTGTAAAATGCATGAGGCAGGGACAGCCTCTTAGGGGATGGACCGACAAACAATTATAATATCTAAAGTTGGAGGTGGAGGGACTTACTACTCATGAGTGTGCATCAACTGTTCCATAGTAATGGTTTCATCCATCTGCTCCTAATCTTTAGTAAATGAAGCTAAACTGTGGTAATCTTACCCTAGTTCATTCAGAGGTAAGATGCCCCAGTTTAACTTCCATTTACTGTGGGATAGAAGCAGACAAACAAAATAGTTACAGTGGCTTCAATGAATCATGGTAAATCCCCCCTCAAAATGGTATAATTGTTCATCTGTCGACACTCTTACTTTATATACAAAACCTAACACAAAGGGACCTTGACCTTAATTGGGGCTTTATACATGACTATAATATAAATTAATAATACAAATATTAATAACAGGTAACTGCAAAGGAACAATTTAATCAATTACACTCTGAGGTCTTAAATAAATTTAATCTGTCATCATGTGGTTCGGTGACCTGGCTTTGTTAAGGCGCTCTGTAGTTCCCTACGATTCTATGATCATGTTAGATTTGACTTAAACCATATCAAAGTTTCATTGCACTGCACAGTGGCACCTGGGCCTTCTTATGAAACATGAAAAAAATCATCTTCTTACCTCAATTATTACACTGCTACGAACATAATCTACCCCGACTGGGGTCCTTGTATCCATGGAACTGTCCTCTATGTGCTTGCCATTCTTTGAGGTTTGTAGCCCTTGTTGACAACAATTTGTTCCACCATAAGCAAAGGCTTTTGCTAAGGAAAGGAAGAGAAAGAGCAGAGATGTAAATGCAGTGGTGTCTCCCGGTAGCTGGAAGAACATTTCACTTTAGAATTGCTCTTCCCAAGCAGATGCAGGCGACTACATCACGTCCTTCCTTTCCTTTTTCACGTCCTTATGACAAGGTATTTAGCAAAATTCACAGATTCACAGGGCTGCACCATGAGAGCTTCTGCTGTGGCCTTAAACTTGCAACCTCTGGGCTGTCAACCATGTGCCTTAACTGGCACCACCCCAGCCCTACTACATCAGGTGTTTTTGATTAAAAGTTGTTTGTTTGTTTTTTGTTCTTTTCCCACAGGGCCATATTATTCTTGCCTATAAGTATTTGATCAGTCATTGAGGACTGAGGAAAGTCTTTGCTAATCCCAATTCATGAAATTTAGAACCAATTATTATTTTCCTAAGAAGGTGTACAGGATTTGGGATTAGGCATTATTCTGTTATTTTAAAATAAGAGAACAGCAACAGTCCCATGCAACAGGTGGCAACACTTTACACATAACTAATAGTGAACTGAAGTGAATAGCCTGCAGCTTGCTTGTACAACACTTCAGATAATTTTGATGAACAGAGCAATTTACAGATCCATGGGGCAGCTAAAAAACAGGAGAAGGAAGGCTAAACCTGCAGAAAAAAAGTATTCACACTGAATAATTTGGGCAGTTGTAACCTTGGGAGGGGATCTCCTCCAGTCACAGGAAGAGCAATGCATTGCTTATGTGTGTGTTAGAAACAGGTTAGGCAAACACTTGTAGAGTATGCTTTGGATAAGCATGATCCTGCTTGGAGAAGGAAGCTGGATTAGACTACCTCCTGAGGTCCCTTCTAGCCCTACCTTTCTGTAAGTCTATGACCACTACCTACCTGTGATGTTGCTTAACCCAAGCTCACTGAAGGACAAGACTATGGAGGTGGGTTTGGCCTCTCCAGGGGCTACACACTTCTTTCTTGTCAGATGATGTTTACCTGGATGTCCAACAAACTTTATGCCTTTTGGAACAGAGATCTTCACATGAACCTGTAAAAACAAGTGTTTCAAGCCATTAGATGCAAACCTCATCAATAATAATGGCACACAACATAGAACTCAAAGATTCCTGAGTGTCCAATATGCACCTAGCATATGTTGATCACAAATTAGTCAAAGCAACAACTTCATGAAATAGATACACAAATAAACCCAATGACTGTAAGAAAAGTATAGAAGGTAAGAGGAGTGTATGCTTGAAAAAGAGGGAAAACTTTTCCAGTATTCATCTTTAACAGATGTCTGTCTCAACAGTAAATGACACAGTGATAGTCCAACTAAGAACAGAGCTACTTCGCCATTCTTCAGTGGGAATTTCTTCATCGTCTCTCAAATAATTTTTCAAAATTAACAAAATAATAAAGCATCCACTTTCACTACCAGTACAAACGAATAAATCTCTCTCTCTCTCTCTCTCTCTCTCAGTATTTATGCTACTCTTGTCATTTTACTTTCTCAGCACCTTACCTAACACTTCTTTGCAAACATCACAGCTAGGTTACATTCCTTGATCATGGAAGAAAGTTCAGTGTTTCTGGAATAGGTTAAAAGGCTGTTACCTCTACACAGACAGCCAGGTAATTGTAGACTGTAAGCGGGATTTTGGTCTGCTCCCCACGAATGACACGATAGGGCAAGGTGAAATCAATGAAGAAAGATTTGAATGTTTTCAGTTCTGTTTGATTGGCTAGGCCTAGCCCCTTGTCCTCAGACAGGCCCACGGCCTCTGTTATCCATGTAGTTATTGAGTCAGGCACTTCCACATGTAGCTGCGCTTCTCCTGAGGTGTCACTGCCAACAAGAATAAGGAGTAATGGGCTAGTCAGATCAACAAGACGTATTTGAACCGAGCCAAAAAGCTTCTGCAGCTAACCGCTTTGGGAAATTCCTCCAGATCCTAGCTTACAACATAGTATCAATATGTGACTCAGGATGTCTTCTTTGCATGCCAGAACACCAAAGGCTGCAAGACTGGATCTTTTTCTTGCTAGATATCTGCTGTTTTGGAAACCTCTGCAGTAACTCAGATGCATGAGCAAGGAGTAGACAAGCAGCTATTGGCTAGCATAGAGTAACACAGCATCTCACGTTTAAATCTTTCCTGGATTAAAAGTTTTAAAGGCATTTGTTCTTTGGCAACAGAATCACTTTCCTTAGAGGCAAAGGTCTGTATTAAGAAAAAGAAAGAGAAACTCTAGTTCAGGACTGAACTATGATTTATCAAACAATCAGTGAAATAAAAGTACAGTAATCTGTTGGAATTTGTTACTTCTGTTATACATACTGCCACATAGGAGACTTTGCCTGAACGAGAGCTGGTTAGAAATGTTCTGTCAGCTGTTCCCTGCCCTGGAGAGCATATTACTTTTCAGGAACTTTTTTTTGGAATTATAGTTTACAGAAAACTCTGGTTTTACTCCAGGAAGGTTCAAACCAAATGCAAGAAATACTGAAAGCTTGCAAACTGGACAACTTGTCTTTCAGCCAGCTCTCCTGGGTGTATCACAATGTGCCTACTATAATTCTGTCGCCCAATATTCTTCATGCTTTGTGAAACTCAGGATTCAACGCTGTGCTACATCCTTCACTATCTTCCTCCCCCAAAAGAATTTTGGCCCTATCTAAGAGGACAAACAGTCTTCTCTACAGCAAGAACCAAAGCTATTTCATGGCTCAGCTGGCAGCATGACTGGTACAGTTAGGAGCAGACCCTGAAGAATGCTTTCTTCGGAGCTCTTATTCCTATCCCAGAGCCTGATGCACATGCCTGCGAATTCTAGAGTCTTTTAAAAAGAACAACACCTTGGCAGGCAAGAAGGAAGAGCAAACAAGACTAGAGTAAACAGAGGTAGTGTCCACATAATAGCATGCTGCCCTCACAGATCATGGTACCATGAATTCAGGGGGTACCTAGAAAAGTCTTAAGTTCAAAGAGTTAAGCACACTCCTATTCTACCTAGGAAATTCATGCTTTAGGATTCCGATGAATATGTTTTATATAATCCATATAAAGAGTTACACTGATGATGTGTTAACATCACAGTTAATGAATTAGGCAAAGTATCATGCATTGTAGGACTGCCAGAACTGAAAGCTAAACGGGACTTTGAATTAACTTCAGGGTTTAAAGTACATTTATTTAAAACACCCAAACATTATGTGTTGAAAAAAACCCAGATGATGCATGGGTATCATGTCTGGAACTGGAGGAGAGGCTCTGGGCAGATTCCTGATTACTTTCTATCTGTTAAAGCCATGCAACTGATGTTGAAGAAGAAACAACAATAAATGCCGCAAATCAGAAGAGGTCTCCAAGCTCTGAGGCTCATAGCTGAACCTCCTGCATTGACCTTCACTGAGGAGGAGCCAAGCTCACAGAAGCACTGGAACAAAGAATGAGGGATTATCTCCTGAGAGAAGCAGCTGCCAGAATGCATAGGAGAAGGGTGAAACGTTCTTCCTTTACATATTACGGATCTGTTCAAATAACTGTTGCAATTCTGTCAATGTATTAAACAACATAACTACTTAACTGAAAACCTACCTGGTAATTCTACCCAGCCAGATAAGCAAGATAAATGCTATACTCATATTCATATATACTGCACTTCACACTGGAATACAGGTATACAAGAGAGTTAAGAACACTGAACAATGAAAAAAACTGCAGATGGTTGACAGGACAGAAGCTAGACGTGCTGCTCAGATCCCTTTGGCTATTTCCACAAATGACATTTCGATGAAATCCCAACAGGGAAACACTCATGGTTCAAGAAAACATAGAGCTCAGGATGGCCGTGGTGATGCTGTGTGCTAAGCTCAGCCTGTCTCTACATACTCCATCCTGCAGAGAGCCCTTCAGCAGAGGGACCTTCCTGTGAAAGGCAGTTGGCTCAGCAAACTCCATGTTATTTTAACCTCTCTCAAACTCATCAGTTTCTTTATGCTTAAGTTTGCAACTATAATAAGAGCGGAAAAGCTGGTACCTGCAACAAACTGCAGCCATGGAGAAGGGCATCCCAGCCCCACGGCTGGCACAATTCCAGTCCATTTAACCGGACAATTTGTTGCAGCTGATGTTCTTTCCACTGGGATTTCAGCCCATAACCAGCATTAACATATTATTTTCACACATGAGGGCACTTACTCTTCTGGGCGGGGGGCCAAGGTACACACACATTTCCAGCCATTACACATTTCAGCCAGGCTCTAGGAATTTTTAAAATCGGTTTGGGAAGTTGACATTAGGCTTTTGATTCTTTTTTAAGGATTGTATATTGTAATTATAAACGGTAAAACGAAAAAAAAATCTTCCTGTTCAAAAGAGTGGAAATCAGGCAACGTTTAGCTCAGTTATTTATAGTGAAACAAAGTGAAGAAAATGCCATCTGCAACTTTGATTCCACAAACTCATAATTAACGGCTGGGGCAAACAGGCACTTCTGGAATTCTTGGTGTATTTCTACAAAGCATATTTCATGCTCAATTGAACAGATTTGAATACACTTGCTGCAAATTCCTGTCAAATTTAATTTATAACCATTTACTGGAAATGAAGTTTACTTGCAAACCTGGAGAAGCCTTTTAAAACCTGCCTCAAATTTCCTATCCCAGGATGTGCTGCCTCTGGGAGGAATTAGTCATCTATTTATTCATTTCTGTGTCACTCATTATGCCTGGAACAGAATCTGATTTATTGGATGGTAAATCTGGTAAGCCCCTGAACAAAATGGAAAATGAAGGGAGGGGCTCTGTACAATGTTGAGCTGACATACCAAATCAAAGTAGAGTGTTCATCAGTGCACGGCTATATTACACAAGGATTTTGGAGGCACTGCTCTCCTGCCAGTGTCTTGTCACAGTGATCACACAGCAATCAATCTGTACACTAAGCCTCAGAAGCCTTAAAAATGACCTTTACATCCTGGTAGATATGCAAAGATATTTTCCTGAATGAGGCATCATACACATTCCTTGGTCCCGCTGTTACTGAGGCTCTTTGTGGCTCACATACTTTGAAGGATGTTTCACACTACTTCAGGCATCCTGAGTGTTGTCTGCATCCCAGGAGAGTGCTCATCTCAAGGAAACCTCTGGCCCCACAAGCAATGACGTAAACAGAACATCTCTTCCCTCATTCGCATTATGTCCCTGTAGCAACTGCGGTAACTTTTTACTGAGGAGTATTCAACCAGGCAGCTCTCTACGGCACCAGCAAAGTGCTCTGCAGGCTTCCATCAGCTCAAAGACCATACCTGACAAGTGCGGCACTGTTTTTAGTCAGCAAACCACAAGCACAGTCCACAGAGACATGCTTTACAAAGAATTTCAAGTGTTAAATGCTAGAATGCAGTAGAGATTAAATTCCAGCTGCATCTGCAAGTCAGCTGTCTCCACTAACACTGCGGGAGCAAAACCTTAGCAGCCCATGATCACTGCCTGCTTCTTCCTTGCAGTGAGACTCCTCTACTGCAACAGAATAATCTTCCAGACAAGGTAAACTCTAAAGCAGCGAAGACTGTTGTTTAATGCAAGTAACTTCTCATAATAACGGATAAAGGGGAAATAAGTTAAAATTCGGAAGATGTGGATGCAACCACTAATTGGTTTTAAAGGAATTTGTGAGCCAGGGACACAATTATGCCGGTGAACTAAAATCTCCAAAGGGCCTCCCTGCAAATAGCCCAAAAAGCTTGCCACAAATACCTGATGTTGAGGCAGTGCCAAATCCATGTTTCAGGGAAGAATGTTCTTTTTTTCTTCTCTGACCTATTAAGACAAGAAGTAAATCATCAGCAATAATTTGCTTCAACAAGACAGAGGATTATACCAAAAATAATAGAAAAGAATGCTATTGCTGACATGGAATAATTTATTTAATTTATTTACACACACAGGCAAGTATAAGAATGGTCTCATCAAAACAGTATGAATGTATGACTAAACCCCATGAAAATTACTTCTCAGATTAAACTGTATAGTTCTTGTAGTCAGCAAGCAAGGCAATAAGAGATACAAAATTTATCTTTTGATGACACCAAATGCCCACTTTTTCCTATAGGAGGCAAAAGAGGAAGCCAGGCACTCTTGCACTGACCTCCTCCATAGCAGTCAATTCTGTATTTCTCTCCTATGTCTCCTTGAATCAGTTCTCCTTTCATATGGAATTGTCCTTGTCTCTCTTCTCTGCCCCACGCACCCCACTTTCCTTCCTTGATACCTCAGATTGTTTCTATTATCTTTCACTGTATAATTTCTGACCCTGGTTTGGGTAAGAGGGAGCAGCGCACAGCCTCTGTGTGCACCTGTAGCACTACCATCATTTTGGTATCATTCTCAAATCTCTTCTTCATGCAGTCTGTCATTCAATTTGCTTTAACTACCTATTCCGTACTGAGCCACTGCCTGCCTGTGCCACATAGTTCAGAATGAAAGCCAGCTCTCATGATGTAGAGAAGCAATGATGTAGAGCCAGTCAATGTGTGCAGGTCCTACAAGGTGCACTACTCTGGGCTTGTCTCTGCTGATCCTAGTCTGCCACTGTGTTATCCTGTTCCTTAGTTTGGATAGGTCTTTGCAGGCAACCACCAAACTTCTTTTGTCTTAGCTAAGCTAAACAATTTCCGGATAAAGCAGACCTGTGAGACAGATTGTAGTCGATGTGGAGTACAACGTGCAAGATCTTAACAACCAAAAGATTACCTTGGTACAATCTTAGAATGCATGGTAGCTACCAGTGTTCCAGTGTGGGGCTGAAAGGCTGGCACAGCCTCATCCGTGTACATGCCTCCATTCTGTCTGTGGTTTAAACTGACCAAGTCAGTCATTACAACCAAACCTGTTTCCTAGACAAAAAAGACCCCAACAATAATCATTCAGCATGTTCCCATGAGGACTTTCCTGATGGCCTCAGCTTCAAAGCATTTATAGAGGAAAAACTTGTTTGAACCTTACGGGATTGCTTAAGTTCTATGGAAAAAATAGTTGGCAACATAAAAAATATTTGAGCATTTTAGAAGCGGGAACTCTGCGGTTAATTCTGGGACTGTTTGGGAAATTCCTTTTCCTAACATTTAACACAAGTGGGCATGTTCATAATTTTCAGGTAATTGCAGGTGGACAGTTAAGCAGAAATAGGTTTTAAAAAATCCCATACTATTCCTAGAAAGTTAGATCGCTGGTTCTAACTCAAGTTTATCTTTCCTTAAAAAAAAGTTACTGGCATGTGCTCTCTCTCTCCCATCGCGGCAATTACCAGCAGACACTTACCTTGAATAAGGTATCCAATTTCTTTAGGGACTCCAGAAAAAATTGCAGCTTTAAACATTCTTACAATAATAATTTTAAAAAGATATTAAGGGACAAGAAAAATTTCTGCCAGCTCTGGCTACTTCATTGCATTTATATTTATGACACATACAAGTGTGATCCTGATGTTGTGGCCTGAGGCATCTCCCACACCTCTGTTCGTGCACCAAAGGATATACGTACTTTGTTATAATTTAGATTCACATTTAATAATTATTAGATATCATCCACATACTGCTACACACATTCATAGTGATTTCTCACCAAGGCCCTGGGCCCTGCCTCAAGAACTTACACCCTGGAGAGAAAGAACAACATCACAGAGAAAATGGGAGGAGGAAGGATTCCTGCAGAAATGGATTTCAGAAGGAACGTGGGAAGAATTGGTGGGGGAAAGGAGAAAAGACATTGGTAAATGGGGCACAAGGATGCAGAGGGTGAGCAACCCGAAAGAGGCACACACCCAAGTAAACAGAAAGAGTTAAAGGCAGCAGTAAACCAAGAGGGCAGTGAGAAGCATAGCATAGACAGAACTAAGGAATTAAAAAAAAAGAGACGTAGGCAAGAGATCAGATTATGTATCAGCATAACGTTGAGGACAAAGAGACAGGAAACCAGAAAAGGACAGAGTAAGTGGCCTCTCCTAGAGCAGCAGGAGAAGAAAGGAACAAGGTAACTTAGAAAATGTAGCTGTTAAAGAGGTCTAGGTATATCACATTTGGTGCAAAAAAAAGAGGAGAAAACATGAAGCTAATGGAATTGTGTTAATTGGTAAAAAAAATAAATAAATCTAAGGAATTAATGTTACTTTATTAAAAAATTGCAATGCTGGCAAGCCACACATAGTAACAATAGGCCAGTGCATGAGAACAAGACTCAAGAGAAGCTGACTAGTTTGTTTTCAGAGTCAAAGCTGAGAAAACTGTACACAGTCAACAAAGACAAAAGAAATGTTAGTTTTCTAAATTTGTTCTGGTTTAATAATTAAAGAAAACCCAGTTAACAGAATTATTTAAATTTGCTAACCTTAAGTAATAATACCAACAGAGATTAGAAGAGAATGTAACTGACCTCCAAACAGATGGAGCTAACAGCTGCCAGCAAAGGGACCAGGGGAGCAAGTTGAAAGGATTTTCAAGGGCTGTTCTAATAGAGTAAACTCATATTTTTTTCCATAGCTATTCAAGGCTCCAGGGAAAGCCCCATGTTCAAATCCATTTCCACCCTTTTTGCTTTTCCCTTGAAGACCATTGCAGACTAAGCCTTCATGGCCTCACCCAGTAACAGAAAAATTTGTTGGGCACTTGCCTGATTTTTGGGAGAGCTGGTTTGGATTCTTTTAGTCAATTCGAGTTCTAGCCTTCCCCTTGGTGCCGACTAGGGTTAGAGTACATTTGTTTAAAGTACTCAAGGGAGAATAGCACTCTTTTTGCAGAACCTTCTATTTTGGGAAATCAGTTCCTAGACTATCATAATGATGAGACAAACCTCTTCCTCACATGTGAAACATAAGTCCCACAAAACTCCAAGAAAAAGTCAAATTTCTCACTGACCACTTGGGAATAAAAGCTGAATGAATTTCAGACACCTCGTAGAGCAGAGAACGCTGACTTTGTATGCATAGTACATCCAGCAGTGAAGCAGCGTGTAAAATTTGTATGATCTCTTGAGTAGTTTACATCAAGATCTCACATTCTGCTCCTGTTCCCTGTCCAGATGCAGGTAGTATTAATCCAAACTTACTTTGGTCTCTTCTTGTTCCTTAGCAGGTAAAGTAGAACAGTAAGGCTTTTTTTTTTTTTAAGTGTCTCATTTCATTACAGCAAGAGGCATGCAAACTTCTTGTCAGCGTCAACAAGGAGAGGCATTATACTATCACCTCAAGTCAGTAGGACCCAACAGATTTCATGCAGATTAGTGGTTCTCATGAGCAAACTCCTCTTAAACGGCTGTATTAAAAGCATCTTCAAACTTCCCCTAAGCATGGACACAGCACTGAATTGCTAAACTTCTCAGGGACCTGACTTTTCAAAAAGCTCAGGACTTACAGCTTCGTTGCGACACTTATGGCCCTAACAGAACGCACTGCATTTTCTGAGAATCTGGACTAAGGTGTTAAAACAGTGGTTGTTTAGCAATGTGAATGCATCACACGGACACTTGACAGAGAAGCTAGACTGGGCCAAGAGTCCTTCTCACCGTAAATGCAAAGCGGGCATCTTTGGTGATATCCCAATGCCAGGGGAAGACAGAGGAGCGACGGCGCCTGCGTGAAGACATGCCTGGCCACCAGAAGTGCCCTTCCTCCTTGGGAGTCCCAAAGGCATCTGACACATCATACTCTGCAAGCTCCTGGAAAACCTATGCAGAGAAGGCAGATATTGCTGTCCCTTCCCCAAAGCCAAAGATGTTTCTCTGCAGATCCCTCTTCAGGCAGAGGGCAGGTGATTATGCTACAGGGAGAAAGGAGACACTGGTACCTTGCACCTCCTCTCACCTGAGTAGAGGTCAGCTGAAAACCTGTCTTAAGAAGGTAGACGCTCTTATCCACGGTTGCAATGCAGACACAGCTTCCTGTCACAGCTTTAACTTTGATGTGCACGACATCACCAGGCCTGGTCTCATTTGTTGAAAGTGCCACCGAAACCTGGATAGTTGCAAAAGAAACAAACCCATCACCTGGCATAATGTTTAGAGTGTAAAACCACAAAGAGAAATAAGGGAGGCCAACTGCTCCTCTGCACTGGCAGTGTTGCCGATACCTGGTTTTCAAAGGAGGACTTGACAGCAAACTGAAGACTGTCTGTGACCCCTTCTCCATTTTCCCTGACGTAATATACCAGTAGACGGCCCAGAGGAGCCATGTTATGAGCTACTGAGAAATGGAGGAAGGTCATGCAGACTTCAACCTCTGCTGTAGGGGGGGTGGTAGGTGCTAGAAGACAAATTATACAAAGAACAAAGTCACTTGTCAAAATCAGTCTCCCCCTACCCTATCCCAAAAGTCTACCAGGCCCAGTAGCCCACTCCCCACCCAGTCTTCTGGCAGTGCTTCCAAGCTCAACATCTTCTCCTCCTATCTGCCTTCTACACCATACAGTTATCAAGACGCCCATTCTCCATCCCCACCCACACACAAACTATCAGACCCAGCATCTTTCCTTCAGCCTGTGGACATGGAACAAGTTCCCACGTGATCCCCTCAACCCTGCACAATAAGACTCACCTCCTTTCCCTCCTCAGCCTGTACACATTAGCAGAACAACCCACATCTTCTTCCCCACTTACACTCACACTCAACCAGACCCAGCATTTTCCCCATATTCCTAAATGATATCAGAATCGGCATCCCCCACCATGCCACCTCAATGGCCATCAAGCCCAGGGCTTCCCAAACTCTAAAAAAATGCTGGGGAGGAGAAGATATATCATTTGGAAGAGAACTTTAGAAAAATCAAAGTTTTCATAAAATAGTTACTCCTTCCCTGCAAGGACTCTGTGCCCTTACAGAAGGGTATCAGATACATCAAGGAACATCTCAAAACTTCAGCAAGAAGGTTTGTTCCAATCAAGGAGGTGACCCTCACCAGATGAGAACAGTTACCACTTCTGTTGCTAGCTACTAACCTGTTCCTGGGACATGAGTGACATGGATGCTCTTATCAAAGGTGGCTCTTTTGCTCCTTTGCTGGGTGATGTTACTAGGCTGCAGCCCTGAAAGGACAATGTTACCTCGCGATGCCACTTCATAGTGTAGAGTGAAATTACAAGGGCATGTAGACTTCACTCCAATCCGGGCCTCCTCTCCCACCTGTACAAACAGATGCAGCAGACAAGAGTCAGGTTCATCAAAATATAAAGTTTCAGGCCCTTATTATTTATAAGGCTCAGAAATGCACTCTGGAAAGAACAGAACACATAAAACAAGGTTGTTCTCAACAGGAGCTCAGAAGGAGATAAAGAAAGCGTTACATTTGCACTAATCAGTTTGCTGTAGCTCCCCCCAAGACAAGAGAGGCCTGTGAGAAGCACTTGGTTTCCTGCAAGTTGAACAGGAGGACAGGATGGGCTGGGAGGGCCACATGGATTAGTGAAAGCAATAAAAGAATCTCTGGAATCCTGAGGGTTAAGCCCTTTGCTGTAAAGCAGCTGTCAGAGTGGGTTGAATTTGAGGACACCCCATTACTAGGTTCAGATCTCTAACTGGAGAGCATGGCAGGGGAAGGGGTCACACAAGCTTTGCTGTTTAACTGAGATTACATGTGGTGGCTATTGTCATTTGCAGGAACTAATTCATACATAATCAACCCGGTTCAAAATAATCAGGAAAACCTGAACCAGGAAGAAAACTTTCAAATTACACGGGCCTCAGTGTTTGTTTACAAAACTGCCTCTCAAGGAGCCACATCAGAGACAGGCATGAGAACCGCTTCTCTTCTGCATTATTCCACAGTGACATTATTGGGATGCTAGATTTCCCCTTTCATAGAGCTATGAAGCAGCTCCATGTGCTCTCTTCCTTGTCCAGCTGAAGTATAACAAACAGGTCCAATTACTGCTGAAAGCAGAGTAAGAATTCTGAATCCCTATGAAGTGGGGAATCTTCATTCCTACCAGGCCTGCCTGGTGCAAGCCAAAATGATGGCATAGGGAAACGAGAACCCACCAAAAGGTTAAACACAGTGAGAGTGCAGAAGAGTCTGGAAAAGTGCCTCATGATGTTAAATATTCAAGGCATTAAGAATGTCTTAGAGCAAAGTGATGAAACTGTTCATAAAAAAATGAAGCTAATTGGAACACCCAGTAACAACTGGGGAAATGGTTCCCACATCAGCTGGACACCCAACTCCCAGCTTTCCCACAGCAGAATTAGTGCTAATCAGGTTATAATAAGAACAATATGTTCAGATTAGTGGTGTTTAATCCCCTTTCCATACCTCAGAAACCTTGTAAAAGATTAATTAGTCATTAAACTGCCATGAAACACAATGAAAAAACCCCTTATTTGGCAATGCTGACCCTAAAACTCTGCCTATCAGACCTGCTGATAATGTAATAGTAAGTTAGTTATAGGCAGCACCAAAAACCAAAATGGATTATAAAGCACATCTCACATCCCCTCTAGGATGGAGAACAGTAACTCAGTACAACAAGAAGGGTGGGAAATTCTGGCCCAGAAAAAGTCATGAAAACTTTTGCCTACAGCAGAAGAGAGAGTACCCTCCTCCAAAAGAAAAATACAGCAGGCCCAGTCTGTTTACCTCTGAGACCCAAAGGATAAACTGATCCTACAGGGATTTGAGCTAGTAGTTCCAAAGAGACTAGATCATTCCCATCTGGGCTTCAAGATGGTTTAGTTAACCCACTATCACTGGACTTCAAACCAGTCAGCATTTGATTGAATCAATATCTTAATAGCATTTAGAGACTACTTTATTATCCAATTCAAATGGCATATATATAAATGGGAAAAGGGGGGAAAGGACTTGTTTATGATCTGTGCTATGGAATCTAGTAAGTCTCTACTGGAGAGCCAACTCTAAACTACAGAGAGGATGGGACATTCCCAGCTTTAGGGAGGGCATTCAGCACTAAAGGTGTCTTTACGCATGCTCTGGGGTGGGGGGCAGCAGCTTTAATTAGAG